CCTGTCAAATCTGGACACCCCGTCATAGCCAGCCCGAGTTCAAGCCTCCAACGAAGGAACATGTGGGGGCTGCACCCGACCGGCATTGCAATCGCCTACTGCTAATCCACTAGCTGATAATGGGGCTCGCTCCTCTACTTTCCAAATGTGTAAAATGAGACTGAATCTTGCGCTGGAACGTGGAAAAATACACGGCACTATTTTTGGTCTTTTGTGAATTTGCAAAGCAGTGGATCCAGGTCCAGTTTCTTTTTTTTTTTTGTTGGAAATATTTATCAATATATTGCAAATGTCTAGGAAACGAAGCCGGGGACCTTACAAAACGACCCCGAGTTATCCTGGCAGCTTCAGCCAGTTTAGCTTAAGAGCAAAGCTCCTTGCAGTCAACTAGCTATAAACCTTCTCCTGAAAACTTGCTGGAAACGTTCTCCAGCTTCCCATACACAAAAATCTTTCCAAAAAAGAAGATATGACTTGAAGCTCTCAAAAAAGAAGATATGACATAAGCTAAGACCTGTATCAGAATAGATTTAAACTGCACACTACCCAATCATGGCCATTTAACAAAGCCAGTTGGCTATCTCAAGATTGTGATCATATGTTATAGAAGCCAGAAAATTATCCTCTGTGAAAGTCCTACGGAACCAAAGGATTCCTTTGCCAACTTGAGGGAGGAGTACGAGGGGGGAAGGGGTGGAAAAATGAAGGGGAAACTCCAAAAAAGAAAAAGAAAAAAAAAAAGGGGAAACTGTGGCGGTGACACAGTTGTAGTTCGAAATATTAGGCAAGAAAAGACAAAGTGACGCCGGGGCCAAGTCCCATTAGCAGCGTTGAGTTTCCTGAACGCCTGAATCTGAACATGTTTGAGGGCAATGTGCACAAATCGTGTTGAGTTTCCTCAACCGCACATCTCCACAAACACGTCCAGATTCACGCGTTGAGGAAACTGAACGCTGCTAGTGGGACTTGGCCCGTGTCATGGTGTGAGTTTCGAAATGTGGAAGTTTAGCGAGGGTCTAAGACTGCACCAGTCATTTCCCACCACCACCCCTTGGCAGACTTAAGGGGGTCTCCTTTTTTGCACCATAATTTGGGGAACTGCTAAAGTTGCCTATTTTTTTCTGAACGTCGGGTGTGACTGGACTTGGCCGGGGGGGGGGGGGGGGGG